GGGTATTCAATTGCAGGAACTGGTGAAGCATAATAAAAAAAGCTGTGACTTTTGGGCTAATAGTTGCAAGCTACAGCCTGCCCAAATAAATCACACTGTAAAACTGAGTTTCTTTGCACCCTTAAGAACTGTTTGTGTAACTGTACAAGCATTATCATTATTACAATGCTGTATCTTTTGAAGTGTTCTCAAAACCTGATTTCAAAAGAAAATACACCATATACTTTCCAAACTCAAGATAATACAACAAGGCTTGACAATCATTTTCTAAGTGGTGATATTGACTGAACTTTCATAAATCAGTCATCAAATAATCCGAGTGACCAAACCAATCAATTATTAATCATAGTTATCATTAGGAAAATAATTATCTCCATATGAATTCAATGTATTTTTAACTGTGTGTAAATTAAAGTAATACAAAATTAAAGGTACGTTTTCCCATAATATGTACAATCAAATGCCAACAAAACAAAAACTCCTACAAACCAGTCAGCCGAATTAAGTATACAGACATGATGTCTTGTCATATTAACCACAACAGCAATGCTTGAAATACACGAGAAAAGGCCTCACTATTAATGAATTATATAGCTGCGCTTTTGAGTCCATCAAAAAATATATAATATATGAAAGTTTTAACATTCCTATTTGTCACACATGCATACACCTTTATATTCAAAATCTTGGTAACAACAATAAAATAAAACACAACCCAAAATGAATAAATAAATAAAAATGATCAAATACATTTATAAAATAAAATATAAAGAAGAAAGTGTTAACTTACAAAAGAAAAAGGATAAAACAAAGTATGCATGTTTCCCGCCAGTGGCACCTGATTGGTTCTGATCTATATTTCTATTAATGTTTATTAGCCAATCACAGGTTTTCATTGTCTGAGAAATTTGCATTATTTCCCTTTCTGCATTTGTGTTTCCTCGTTTTTGCACTGTGTTAATTAAAAACTGCACTGCTGCTCTAAGGCAATGCGGTTCAAACTTTTTTCCTGTATATTACTAACTTTCATAATAAATACCATCTACCATAATCAACTATATCAGTACCTGCTAAATGTCTTTGCTCTTGTTCACCTACAAGAGAGCATTCCATCCTACATTCAACTTGGAGGACCTCACTTTCATGTTCTTCTATGACTAAGAAGATAAGATTTTAAAATTGTTCATTTGGGCAAGGACTTTCCCTCACCCCTACATATTGAGCAATATTGAGCATAATGTTACATGGGAATTGAAAAATAAAAGAGCTGATCAATCTTACAATAGACAGTTTACTACACTGTTCCTTCCAATAAATGAAATATTTGGCTCTTAATTAAGTTGATAGGTACTGTAGTGAGTTACATGTAAAAACAACTAATCCACAAGACCAGACCGCCAAGACTCAAAATTACAGGCAGTCAACGTAATATGTTGGGTCAAGATTTGGCCGGTCAACATTAAGGCGCTGAAAATTGAAATAACTGCTTTTACATGGCTTAGCTTAATTTTTTTAAGAAATGTTACTTTCGTAACTTGATAACCACACTCAAAAGTGGTTTATAATAAGATATGTTCGTCCTGAACTCAATATTTTCCCATCTCGCAATACAAGGAGTCTTTGAGCATTTATGGGGAAATTTTTTGTCTTAATTTGCCTGTTACTGCAAAGTACAATGTTTTCAATACAGTAAAAACCTGTGACTGAGAACCTGGTTTTTAAGAACCTGTAAGGCTATAAATTTGCCAGTTAGGCCCTCTCCATACAAGAAGCTAGCCTGTTCCAGGCGTTCAGATAGTAGAGCCTGGCGGTAAGTGGGGAGCGAGTTAAATTGTACACCGAGAAAACAGGGGGGGGAAGGTGTGCGTGTGAGATCATTTATGGAAGCCCACAAAGGCACAAAAAAAATCTTATTTGAAAGGTTATTTAGCCGCAATAAAAAGATTAATGCTTTAACAGAGGTCAAAGAAAATCAGTACCTAACTGCATCTGGAATCAAATTATTTCAGAAACAAACTGCAGGAAATAATTGCCCAGTATATATGACTGACCGTCTCAATGTTTGACTCAGAGTGACATAAATTGGATTTGGTTAGTCAAAAGAAGGAAAACCTCTGATGTTATTTATTGAAAGCTAACTCAAAGGTCACGTTTCATACTATCACCAGCTTATGGGTCCTGTCTAGCCTGTCAGCACTTTGAAGTTCATGTCACAGTTTTTAATACGTGGTCGGCGGTCAATTAAGGGCGGAAAGAACTCTGTAAGGGCGCTGTAAGGCGTTCTCTCTCCTTTTCCCCCTCTAGTCTCCTTCGTTTCTTTTTTTTTGCTTCGTGAATTCTTCTCCCACGCTCTACTATCTGAATGCCTGGAACAGGCTAACAAGAACCTAACCCTGTTTATCCTAAATATATTTGAAAGACATTCCTATTTTCTTAAATCTATATGACAAAATTCTTTTCACTTGAAAAATATTCAGGAACCTCTTTGGGAGACATCACCCCACTGAAAGCCTCTTTATAAGTACTCTTTAGCCACAATGTTTTTCATTCATAAAATAAGAACCTATATATTTTAGAAAATAGCCAAAATTTAACAAATAACTATTTTTGAAAGAACCTGTTCAGGCTATATACAGTGTATGAGAAAATGCAGGTTCTTACTCGTGGATTTTTACTGTATTTTGACCGGTCTGAGCTACAATTTGTTGGGCAGGAAACAATGACCGAGCTAAGATTTGTTTGGCCTCTCAACGTGACCGGCCACTATTTTCGAGCACTGACTTCATGACCTTCCTATTTACATAAAAAACATAAGAAGATAGGTATCTACAAAATGGAAAAGCCGAATACTAAAAAAAGATATTTCAATTACAAGAGGGAGAATAGCCAGCCGAATACCTCTTACACTACAAAGCAAATAAATTCTGTTTACCCTAAAAAAGTAAATAGCGGGCCTGCATGAACCCGAACAATCGGCAACAAATTAGCTCTTTCAAAAAGCATCATGGCAAAACATCTTCAAATTCAAACCACTGTCCGCCGGGCACAAGGATGGAACAGTGACATCTCAAAGACTTTTCAGAAAACACAACAACGCTTTCACATGCATTAGGCCGTTTACATGTAATTTACGATCCTCTAAAAAAAATTTTCACTTGTCACAAAGGCCAGAGTCGCGGCAAAAGTTTTTAAGCTTACGTAGGCTAACAGAATGAAGAACGGTCACGACAGGAGTTTTATTGAGCGATTCACCGCACCGTCGGATCGGACAGAAGGAAATGTCAATGGTTATTTAAGGTGGCTGAACACAGTTTTGCCAGTTTCTGAGTATAGGTCATTTGCCAAATTGTGGCAAGAGAAAGGTTGCAGCTCACAAGCTGAAACTTGGCAAGTGAAAAATATACTGATGAAAGAGTTTGACTGACAGGTAAAATTTGACGTTTTCGTAGTTTCCATGGCAACGTGAACGATTAAATACAACCTTAAAATTTCACCGTTACTCAGTTTACATAAAATTCGCTCATTAGATTTTCCCATAAACTCGCACACAGCTTACTATAATTAAACATTACCATTTGAAACTTATTTGACCAAATTTTAACAGAGGGGTTTTTAGATAATCAATAATATGATTCTACCGTAATTATTAAATGTGTTACAAAATTCGTCTGTTCAACTTCCATTTTAAAGTTCTCATCATTTAAAATACGATAAAAGAGTAGATTTTGAGAAATCGTCGTCTGTGTATCATTGCTTTTTTCGCCGCCATATTTGTTTGTCTAATTTAAAACACGCGCTACCGCTGACCGTCCGCAAAACTGTTTTCAGCCACCTTAACTAAATTCTCGATGAAATATTACATAACTTGCACATTTACATGTAAGATTACCTTGGGTTTTCCGCGAAACAGAAAGATCGAAAATACATGAGTATTATACTGTAACATCTTTGATGTGCCTGTCTTGTTAAATTGAAACTTCAATTTCCTTTCTTTTTACCGAACTTAAACACATGTCAAAATATCTTAACCGCAGCGAACTACTAGAGACGGAATACACTTCCCTCAAGATAAAATATAGGATCTCCGACTGTCTGAAACTCGACACTGCGTGACAACAAGTGACGTGTGCTGATTGGTCAGACGAACAAAACAGCAGCTAGTCAGACTGAGTTTTCAATTTGTTTTTGTAAAAACCACACGCCTTCTATCCGCCACAAATAAACAGTAAACTAACCTCGAAGATAGTCACTCACCTTCTCCTCCTTCCCGCTCGTCTTCGTTTATACGACGCCTGTTTCCCCTTGCTGTTTCTCGCTCTCTTCTTCGCCGCTCGTCGCTAATTCGGCGTCTATTTTCTCTTGCTCTCTCTCGTTCATTCTCCAGTTGCTCTTCAGTGAAATTTTGCCTCCTTTCTCTGTTTCTCTCGTGCTCCCTGTCACGTTGCTCATCTGCAAAATTGCGCCTCTTTTCTCTATCCCTTTCCTACTCCCTCTCCCGTTGCTCGTCAGTAAAATTGCGCCTCCTTTCTCTATCCCTTTCCTGCACTCTCTCCCGCTGCTCGTCAGTAAAATTGCGCCTCCTTTCTCTATCCCTTTCCTGCTCTCTCTCCCGCTGCTCGTCAGTAAAATTGCGCCTCCTTTCTCTATCCCTTTCCTGCTCTCTCTCCCGTTGCTCGTCAGTAAAATTGCGCCTCCTTTCTCTATCCCTTTCCTGCTCTCTCTCCCGCTGCTCGTCAGTAAAATTGCGCCTCCTTTCTCTATCCCTTTCCTGCTCTCTCTCCCGTTGCTCGTCAGTAAAATTGCGCCTCCTTTCTCTATCCCTTTCCTGCTCTCTCTCCCGCTGCTCGTCAGTAAAATTGCGCCTCCTTTCTCTATCCCTTTCCTGCTCTCTCTCCCGTTGCTCGTCAGTAAAATTGCGCCTCCTTTCTCTATCCCTTTCCTGCTCTCTCTCCCGCTGCTCGTCAGTAAAATTGCGCCTCCTTTCTCTATCCCTTTCCTGC